GGCCGCCAACGTCAGTGTCGAAAAACCGGCGAAGCCGAGTGATGAACCAAGAACGGGTGGGTACTTGGCCGTCCTGTCGAAGCCAAAGCGCGGTGCTGAAAGGGAGGTGGAAATCGCGAGAGCGGAGGTAGTTGGAGAAAACGGATAAGGGGTCGCGGGAGGAAGCGTCCTTGAGAATAACAATCCAGTTGCCTTCGAAGAACTTGTCGGCCTTATGGCTTTGCGAGGATCCCGAAGCGCAACGTTGTCGGAATAAGCCATTTCGCCCAAACGAAGGAGGCCGAAGAAGCCGGTGAAGAGCATGGCGACGAATAGCAAGTCGTCGTGGTCTTGGGAATTGGAGTAATGAGCTTTGACGACGTCGAGGTCTTCGACGGTGAGGGCACGCTTGCGAGAGGTGGGTGAACCACGAAGACGCAGGCAACCTGTGAGAGTACGAGAAACTAAAGCAGAGTTACGATTTTCCCGAATGCGAGGGAAGAACGGCTCGAGTTGGTTGCATATGCCGGATAAGTAAGTGCCGACGGAAGTAGGACGGATGTGATGGCACATGAAGACAGTGAAGAAACTGAGAGTGTCGGGGGTGGGATCGAGGGGGAAGAAGTGAATGCAAATGAATTCGAGATAAGAATTAAGGGCCGAATTGTAATTGCGCTCGGTGGAGTTGTCAATAGCCTGACCGAGCGCAATAGCACGTTCGCGAACAAGACGCTCGCGGCTCCACGCCGCCCGAAGGGGCTGGCGAGAGCGAATGGGTTCCAAGTTCATTTTTTGTACGGCCCCAGCAACTCGTGAGGGGGTGTAAAGTCATCCTTAATATATAGACCGGGATGAAGGTCTCTAGCCTTGTCAAACTGGAAGCGAGAAAGCGCGTCCGCGACGAGGTTTTCACGGCCAGGGATGTGGACAACGCGAAGTTGGTGAGAGGTACGGAGGAGGATGTCGACGGCAAATTTTAAGATAGGGTTGTAGCTGGGGAGTGCATGGAAGGAGTTGAAAATGGAGACGGTGTTGGTGCTATCGGTGTAAATGACAAGACGCATCGGCTTGTCCGGCCAACGCGAGGCTTCATGGAGAGCGCAAGCGACGCAGAACGCTTCGAAGAAGAAGATGCAGTCGCTGGGAGGGTTGGTAGGGACAGGAGCGTAGAACGCTACATTTTGGGCGGGGAACCAAAAGCCCATGCCATCTAAACATGCGTCGCAATAGACGAACATGTTAGCGTCGTCGATGGACCAGTCTATGGCGGAGATGAGATGGACCCCAGAAGACTGGGCGATGTGGTGCGCCGCCCAGTTAAGGTCTGCACGAACGAGGCCATTCACACGAATGAGTTGACCCTGGGCAGTTTTCGAGTTGATTTTAGCGTAGACGTTGGAGAGGGAAGGACGGAGGAGCGGGAAGACATTGAAACTCCAGTTCAGCCAGCCCGAAAGACGCTGCCAGATCTTCAGGGCGAACCGAGGATTCTTCCGGTCCGTATAGTCCGTGAATTTCTCGATTTCCTTCAGGAGATCAATCTTCTTCTCCGGAGGAAGTGTTAACGAGAAGGAGTTCGGGTCGACGGAGATGCCGATGATGGTCAGAGGGGAACCGTGAACCTGCTTGTGTTCCTTGTGAGGAATGCCGAGCTCGTCCCAGAGGAGAAGCAAGTCACGCTGATTCGCTGGTAGGAGTTTGTTGTAAGGGGGGTAGAAGGCGACGTCGTCGAGTTTACACGGGGCGAAATTGTCATCAGAATAGGCGAGGAGAAATTCAATAAGTCGGACGTAGCGAGCAATCCAGACCACGAGACCCATGAACGCTATCCAAATGCACCCAGAGCCCCTCCCACCAAACGCATTGCAACGGTCGACATATCGTTGACCGTCAATGGTATTAATCTGCTTAATCTGCCAAAAAGGATGGACAGGCATGAGACGATACGCCTCAGCGACGTCGGACTTGAATAAGGTGAAGACGGTGTCGGGGAAAGTGTGGCGCATGTATAGCAATTCGTCGCCGAGGTGACGCATGTTATCCAAGGGATACCCTCGAATGCGATCACGAGGGATCATCGAATTGAGTGAGTAACGCCCTGCCGACTGATTGGTAACCATACGAAGATCAGTGGAGTCGGACTTAGGGACGCCATGGATGGGCATGCTATACATCCCAGGAAAGAGTTCCGTCCCAAAAGAAGGCGAGAAACGTCCCTTCTTTAGTTCTGTATCACGCTGGTCCCGAAGGAAATTGGCCTCAATGACGTCGACCGGTGTGGGGAAAGACTCGTCCACAGTGTCGGGATAAGATCCGAAATTGGTATCGGCCCATGGCCAGAACCCATCTCGAAGACCGCGGCATACAGAAGCGACGAAAGGGCGATTTGGATGCGTGGACAGCAAACGTTCGAAAACGTCGACTTTAATTGGTGTAACAATGGCGAAGAGTGACGGGTTGTCGGCAATAGTCTTTGAAACGACGGGGTTCGCAAGCTCAGATAAAGGTGGAGATGGTAGAGGTCGAGCGTGCTCTGTCCATTCAGCGGTGGAATAAGAAAGGGTGTCGTCGTCGTGCCATAAGTTATAACGGAGATATTTAGGCCTAGCTCCGTGAATCGCGTCCGTCCTTGACGCAGTCGCGCTCGCCGTGCCCCGATGAACCACACCGCTTACAGGTGTGCGTGAAACGGCAGGTGGTTGGGTAAGGACAGGAGCGTCCGACGGCGTTGAACCTTTCACAGATTTCTGAACTAGATTTGGTGCTCTTCCGTGCCGATGATCGACCACGCGACCCGGAACCAGATGCTGATTTGCTTCCACCGTTGGCCTCAATCCCGTCTGGGGCAACAATGGCGGAGTGGAAGCGCTGGAACAAGTGGAAATCCGTGAGCAAGTGACGTTGTCCCCCTGCGACGAAATTTCGGATGGCAATGTCGAGCATAATGATCTTTCGATGCGAGGAAGGTTGTTTGGCTGAGAATTTGGATCGGATGTAAGTGCCGTATTCTCTGAGTTCTTTGGCGCGATGAGGGAATGCGAGTATCGTAGCTTCTGAGACGTCGTCCCAGGTAGCTGTCCAGTCGCTCGCCGTTTGGATCTTCTTTGCAGGTTCTGGATTTGAAAATCGGATTGCACATGGTCCCACGCGTCCAAGGTCGTCTTTAGGAGGGAGAACGTGGTGCAGCTGGCTGAACACGGCGTCGAGGTTGACGGCCGTACCACGGATGATGGAATCCCACTCTCCGGGAGGGATGCTGGTAGGTGCAATCCCTGAGATGATGACTTGTCGTCTAACCCAATTTGGGTCCCTTTCGTAGGTGTAAAGGAGTTCCTGGGTTTTTTGGCAGGAAATTGGGGCTGTGTCTCGGGCCGCAGTCTCTTCCTTGAACCATGGAAGGTCCGACGATTTGAGCTTTCGTTTCTTTCCGCTAGATCTTTCCCCGACGATGCCTTGTCCTCCAAGCTCACCCCCCTCATCCGATGAATCGTGAGATCTTCCGCGCTTCTCTCTGGATTCCATTTGCTCGAGGAACTCATCAATGGCTTCGTCTTCGGTTTGACCGGCAGGTTGATTCCCGCCGGCAGGCTGGTTCCCGCTCTCTCCATTTCCTTCTCCAACATCCTTTTCCTGGTTTGATAGCCCAACTGCAGCTCGTTTTCCTCGACGCCGAGCACACTTGGCGAGAAACTCGACTGACTCGATAGTGGAGAGGAACTCCTCGAACGCGAGCTTCTTTTCGGTTGCATTATCTCCCTTGCAATATCCGAGGAGTTCTTGGACTGTAAGGATAGCATCTGCTTTTGTAACTTCCCCTTGTCTATACTGCGCAACGACTTCTTCCTGCTTCTTTGCGAGACCGACGTCGAACGAACATCCGATGGGTAACGGCTGTGATCCTCCGACACTCGGAGTTTGGATCGTTGTGCTTGAGCTGGCTGGCGTCTGTACTGTGGAATTTCCAGACGTTCCAGAAGGCTGAGCTGATTGGGGGGCGTTTCCTCCGGTTCCCCCGAAGAAGGATCCGTAAGGCGGTTTATCAGGCTGACTTTGTCCCGCATTCCTTGTAAGTCCGGGTCCATGAAGCACGGGTCCTTGTTGGGCTCCCGTTCCAAATTCGGGTCCTTGCTGAGGATTGGGGGAATTTGGGCCATGTTCACCGGTCATAGGAATATGTCTCAATAATATGTGACGATTTCACCAATACGATGGGTTTATTAGAGACAGCGTGAGGAAAGTGTTAGAGCTCACCGAGAAAAAGGGAGGAACAATCACGAAGAGAACCCCGGGGGGAATGTCTCATCTGACGTCTCCCTTTTCTCTAGGTGAAGGTCTCAAACACGATCGCACCACCCATCGATCGCGACCATACCCCAAAACGCGAGAGTCGCGTTTGTACGTGTTATGTGGGGGCGTTGCTTGAGACCAGACCCTTGCGCGTTCATTGGACTTGCGTAAACCTAGTCTAAACTCGAAAAATCCGTCTCCATTTTCCGCTATCTCTATGACAGGAGACGGTTTGAGAGGCATCAGCACCATGTCCGCCGATGCTGAGGTCGTGGGACTGCCGGTACTGTTGCAAACCCTTTCCCTAGAACCCAACTAGAACTACTAGCAAAAGCTGGCCGTGACGCGTGGCGTTCAGTCTGAGTGAGATCAGACATACGGTTCCGAGGACTATGGCTTTCTTGTGGATTAACATTGAATCGACTGACCATCTCGCTGCCACTGCTAATCAATTCCCACTCGTTGTTACATCTGCCTGAGTAGCACTTGTGATTTACTCGGTGACGAGTCCAGTCTCCCATACACAAATCGGCATTGTTTTCTTGCCATCCAGTACCATGTATTACCATCAGAAACTACTGTTGGTCTTACAGGTCTAACGACATGGTATCGTTTCATAGCTCAGTTCCAGCCTGAATTGACTGAAAGCCGAGGCAGCGAAGGCCGAGGCTATCCTTGCTTCTCTAACTCTTTCAGGCCTTGAGTGAATACGCCAAAAAGTAGAGCAAAATATCTTCCCTCTAGCCGACTTGAACGACTGACCTCGTCATAATGACGTTAAGTATCCACTATACTAGTGACGCGCTCTACCACTGAGCTAAGAGGGATACTGACACTGGACAGGTTATGCTATACATGATGTGTGTAATGCATTATATCTTGAATCGCGGTTGCAAGGAAACATAGGTAGTAATTATGCCTGCGAGAGGTTGCTGTGGAAGTCCAGGTAAAGCCCAAATTAAAGACGCTACGGGGACAGATGGGTCGAACTCGAAGCGAGAACTTGGAGAAGTCTGGCCGTGATTGGCAGCGGGCTTCAAGATGCATTGAGATATTTGACAGTCACATCTTACAATGCATCAGTCAGAACGAGCCCTGGTTGGAGAGGATATAAGTAGAGGGACTGTGGGGAGAGAAGCTACAGATGTGGAATGCATGATATGTATGAAAGCCAGACCAAGCTGAAGATGTGAAATGTGGAGAGACCAGTCTCACCGGATGGAACGCCGACATGACATGGTCTATGACACCGTTGGCCCTTTGACGTCTGACCACCACCACCATCATGGCTGCCCAGCGTCCACAGAGACAGCGGCCCCCGTCATCCTTCGATCCTGCTGCCCACCCCCAGGAATATCAGCAGGAGTTCTCCCCGTACCCGCCTCAGCCCCAACCACAACCCCAGTACCAGCGCGATTCCTACTATCAACAACAGGACCCAGCGTACAATCCCGCCATCCCCACCGGTCGTTCCAGCAGGGAACTTCCACGGCCTCCACCCCTGCCGCAGCAACCTACAGGCTGGGAACCAGACCCAGACGACTATGATGACGAGCCAGAACAGGACGACAACGACGACTTCTTCAATGGTTCTACCAGCGGCGGTCTCGAAGCACAACCGTCGTTCCAACGGGACCTATTTCTGCCCTCCTCTCAGGCCACCAACTCCATCCGTGCCCCATCGCCTACCGCCTCCGGGCCCATCCTCGACCACTCCCACCTGCGCCCCGGCAAACAAGCCGCCCTACTCTCGCATGAGCGCACCCTAGAACTCTATCGAGCCAACGCCAAAAAGACACAAGACCCCGACCTGCAGTTCGAGTTCGCCGTCTTCATGATCGACGCCTCCAAGTCGCTCCCCATCCCGCCCTCCACCTCCGGGAACCTCATCCAGGTCGAGAAGGCCCTCGAGAAGCGCGAAGACCTCATCAAAGAAGCCACTTCCCTCCTCAAGCGCCTCGCTGACCGTGGGCATCCCTCCTCGCAGTACTTCCTCGCCGACTGCTATGCAAACGGCATCGGCACGATCAAGAACAAGCAAGACTTCGACCGCGCATACCCGCTCTTCGTGCTCGCCGCGAAGCACGGCCACGCCGACGCTGCCTACCGCGCCGGGACGTGTTGCGAGAACGGATGGGGGTGCCGTCGCGAGTCCGCCAAAGCTCTCACCTTCTACCGCAAGGCCGGCGCTGCACTACACCCCGGCGCGATGTACCGCATCGGCATCGCGGAGCTCAACGGGGAGCTTGGGCAATCGCGGAGCCCGAAGGAAGGGGTGAAGTGGCTGAAGCGCAGTGCGGAGCATGCGACGGCGGAGTTCCCGCATGCGCTGCATGAGCTGGCGTTGTTGCATGAGAGGGGAATTGAGAATGTGCTGTTTGTGGATTTTGAGTATTCGACGGAGCTGCTGGCGCAGGCGGCGGAGCTTGGGTATGCGCCGAGTGCGTATAGGCTGGGAGAGTGTTATGAGTACGGGAAGATGGGATGTCCGCAGGATGCGGCGCTATCGATCCATTATTATGTGCGTACGACTAAAACTCAACTCTGGTTCAGTAAACTAATATCCTGCGTATGCAGAATATTGCAGCCCAACAAAATCACCGAGACGCCTGCTTCGCCCTCACAGCCTGGTACCTCGTCGGTTCGCCCGGCGTCCTTCCCCAATCAGACACGGAAGCCTTCCTATGGGCACAAAAAGCCGCAGAAGGCGGGCTCGCCAAAGCCATGTACGCCGTAGGCTACTTCCTCGAGGTGGGCATCGGCACACCAGCCAACATGCCCGAGTGAGTACCTGTTCCACCCCTCCTTCCTTTCTCCCTGCTGCGCGACCTCTACCCCGTGTTAACCTCCGCCTCTTCTTTTATTTCCCAGGGCGGTACAGTGGTATAAACGCGCCGTCGAAAAAGGCGATAAGCGGGCGGGGCAGCGGCTCAAGGGGGGGTCATTGAATCAGCCATTGCCTGGCGGTGCCGGGTCGGTCGTGCGTCGCGGGGAGGCGGAGGCGGAGGCTGGGAAGGGTGGGAAGGATAAGGATTGCGTTATCATGTAGATGGCTATGGCGTGTCATAATCAGTGGGTGTGGGAGGTGGGACGCGGCAGAGTGGAGAGGTGGAAGGGATGAGGCGGAGGAAGCTTGCGAGGGTCATTGGAACTACGCTAGACTCGGATTCGGGAAGGTCGCGACGCTGGCGGGACGGACGGATGGATGGATGGATGGAATTATACATGGACAAGGGACCCTTTCTCGTTCTGCTAACACCTCGCGCTCCCTTCTCGTTTACCCGGTACCCAGTACATGCGGGTCCTTCCTCGCTGCCCCCCTTCCCTCGTTTTGCCCCATCCCCTTAGCGGTGAGTGCACACAGGTACCCACTCGTAGCGTCGCCTCCCCCCCAAGTGTTGCATATTTTATTCACGCTAAGCTTTCGCCGACTTGTGCTATGGATATTTTACATACATAATCTAGACTCAGTAATCATCGACACTTATGGAGCGAATTTTTCCGTGTCGCTTTGGAGTGAAGGAAGGCTAGAACTAACTGATAGGCAAGCCCTGGACTCATTATAGCTCGTCTCCCGTCGGAGAGGACAGTAATCGAGCAAGGGGGACCTTCCACGGGCTATTGCTCTCGGTGTGGACAAGTTGGCCACTTTCCGCCCTGAACTTTAATTCTTAAAGGGGATTGCCGAAAACCGAAAGAATGGTTTGATGACATACACACGGCGGGAGGGCGCGTCGTCTTCTCACGTCCCATCAAAGTGCGTCTGAGTGCTTTTTTCTGCGGCAACACGTGACTCGCCGCAGAAAAAAGCACTCAGAAGCACTTTGATGGCACGTCATGCATTCATGGGGGCACCAGTGCACCATATCTTACGCGCCTTCCGTTACAAACACCACCGAATAATGCTTTCACTGTAGCTCCCACCTGCCCCTCCTCTGCAGGCCCCCTTCTCTCTTTCCTCATACCACTCCTTTCACCTCATGATGCCCAATGACACTCCCCATCTCGTTCCTGATATACATGACAAGGACACCCACCTCTGTGCCAAGTGCAATGGACAGCTAAGGATGCGACTCGCGCAGGGAGGTGACTTCCCTGGTCACTGGTTCATCCGGGTATGTTATATTTTCTATCTATTGTTTCTATTCTAAGTCTGAATCTAGTGTCACCATTGCCGATACCACTACACATTCCCATTCCACGCACCCACTTGTTGTGATGTGGCGGTTCCCACAGCATCTCGAGACTCCACCTCAGCCCGTGGTTCAGTCGCGAAACCGGCTCGTTTACCACGCCTCCCATGTACCGACGCGCTTTGCCCTGGGAAACATCACCGTCAATGTCCACATCAGTGGTGCAAACGGTGTTGTGTGCAACACGGAGGTTGTGTGGTCCATACCTCTGCTCACGTCATTACCAGCACGACCGCTCCACCCATATCCATCCCTCGACTCATGCCCCGGCCTGCTGCGCACTCCCCTACCATCCTCAACCCTCGTTTGCTGGATCTCCCTCCCCTCGACCCATCATTCGATGCCTTTTTAGAAGGCTTGTCCGCCGACTCTCCTGAACGCCACCTTGACCGAGCCCTACGAAACCAGCAACGTCAAGCAGCTGAGCAAGAACGTGAATTCGATTTGTTGCTGAACAAGGACCTGCACGACGCGATCGAGATGTCTCTGGAAGCCTTGCGGACCGATTTGGATGCAACCTGGAACGAAGCGGGCCTGTCCTCACCATCACCACCTCCTGTCAAGGAACATAGGAAACGAAGGGCGACGGCGGTGGAGGACGAGGGAAGGCGAAGTAGGAAACGAAGGGCGATGGCAGTGGAGGACAAGGGCGAGGGCAGCAAACGACGTGGAAAGCAGAGGGCGATGACCCCAGTGGATGAAAGCGAGGGCGACGTCGAGATTGTCGGCAGCTTTCGCACACAGGGTTCGTCGCCTTCCATTCCCATCGTCCTGATTGACACTCCCCCTCGTTCGTCTACGTCTACCTGGGTGCCAAGTGTTCGTCGGGACCGTGTCCGAACCACCTCAGGAGGGCCCGGCACAGCAGCACACTCGGACTGGTGAGGGTGGATGGCCGCGAAGTTCCTTCTCATTCACCCAGCATGTACATTCATCACATTCTTTCTCCACTGTATCCCCTTAGATGTATCTTTTGTATCCCATGCGACATCCCTCCCTTGCGACACCTCTTTCTGTGTTTTGTAACTGTCTATTAAAATTGTACAATTATTCTCTTTACAAAATGACGACTACATTACAAAATGACGAGTACATTACAAAACGACACATACATGATAGAGACAGTGTAAAAATGATCAGGCTGTGATGCTGACCGAACGAGATATACCTCAGGCATATCACTGTCGTCCTGCTTCTGAGAAGACCTTTGAGATGAAATTTACATCAATGAGGAGTTCACTCACCACAACATGATCACCTGGAATGAGCCCGGCACGCCGTAGAGCCTCGGCTCGCTCTTTACTTTCGAGATCATCACCTTCGAAACCAAGAGCTTGGCGACGTTCCCTGAGAGCGTAGTAAGGAACAACAAGGAAAATCAAGACATGGAGAAGGTGGTCGAGACGTCTGTTCCGTTGGCCGCGGAGAAATTTCCACTTGAGGACGTGATGCCACCTTCAGGGGCACTTGTGAGTGAGTCTTTGAATGAAGGGTATATGCGTTGACGTACGCCTCGACCAACATGTTTGTCTCTGTGATTTGAAAGACAGTCCTGTTCTTGCGAAACGTAGCAGACCACATGCGCAGAAACTTCGGAACGAGCCAGTAATCTTCAAGGTACTTGTTGAAATATG